AGAATTCTGGGAGTGAAGTCCACACGTCTTAAAGTTGCCAACGCTGAGAAACCCTGCGCTAACCAGTAAAATAAATTTTAATTACAGATGCAATTAATCCTATTTTTACTGTAAAAGCAAAGTGGCCTATCTTTAAAGGACTCTGCCAGTCTCTCTCATTCTCCATACACCCCTTTTAGGGAATCCACTCAAAGGGTATTGAATTCTGTTTGGCCAGTACACTGAACGATTGGACGAAGTATGCTGGTGGAGCAGTGGAAGAGGTAGCTTCACTCCCACACTCTTAGTTGTGAGTGTGAGAGGTCACACTCGCAGATGATGCTAAATTACCGTCTTCTAATGGGAGCTGATTGGGTTGGGCTGATTGGGCCTTCTTCCAAATATAGAAGTCTTTCTACTTTTTCAGTCAGTAGGAATCTTGAATGTCCTTTGGTGAAACAATTTGAACAGATTCCCTTGTAAATTTGAAGCACCAGCCTTTAACCCACGCCTTCCCCACGTCTGGAATATCCAAGTCATACATATAAGCTACCCATATTTGTACACCTGCCTGAGCCACCAATGTACATGTACCTATTTCACCACTCTTCCAGTCTATTCCAAATATCACAAATCAGCCCAAAAGAGAAAAGTGAAGGGTTGAGTTCAACTCTTTTCCACTAACTTCAATAAGCCAAGATTGAAGCTCAACAACAATAACCTCCATATGCTACCACTGGAAACTTGGGGAAGTTACAAAGCAAAAGAAAATGTACGGTATTAGAAATCCTCAGCCAAGCCTCCTCTCCCCAGAGTTAAAATCTACCCAAACCAAGACATACATCTCTCATGGACATTAAACTGCTGAGATAATCGTGTTACTACAATGGGGGCTAAACACGCGTTTAGCCACTGCACACAGAAGGGCACTGCATATTTGAAACTTCATTTCTGATTATATTTATAACTGGAAGACATGTGACAAGACCCATAATGCCAGGTTTCCTAGTTCAGATTATCACCTCACTGCCTTGCTGAGAAAGAAAGGAAATGATGGCTTATTATGAGGAAGAAACCACATTTGCCTCCTGCCTCAAAGTGGAAAAGACTGGACTGATGCAGAGTCAAAATTCTAATCTTGATTCCTTGGAGAATATCTGTTCTGCAGTAGGCTTAAAACAGGAATGGATACACATAGCCCCATTGCTGCATTCAGCACTGCCATGCTCTAAAACCTGTCCCAAAATTTGTGGTCAAGTTGTAATTTTTATACGACAGGAAAAAAAAAATTAAAACACACAGGAAGGAAATTTGTTAAAACCCACAGGGAATATTCATATAATATTGCATTTAATGACGTCTGAATTTAATCTAATTTAGTTTTATTCTGGAGCCATTCACTTTTTTAGGAATTCAGCCTCTAGCATATCTATCATTCAAAGACCAAGTGGGGCTTTTAAGCTGAGAAATGGTTCTGTGCCCTGGCTTAAAATCAGTTGCTTCTCTTGTCTAAGCTGAAAATAAATTATTGGGATGTTTATAAGGTCTTCCAGGCTCAGGTGGGATTCTGCCTCCAGGTACAGAGAGCAGGGGAGGACCACAAAATAGGAGGCCTTGTTTGTGGGAGTCCTCCAGACATCCGGTTTGCTACTTCATAAAGAGAAGTCTGGATAAGACAAGTCTCATATAGCAAGGCAGTTCTTGGATTCCTGTTTTGAAGGAGTTGCCCTTGAAGTTCTCCACATTCCTTTCCCAAAATTTCTGGGAGAACAGGAATACTAGGACCAACTGGATATACTCATATCCAAAATATACAATTGCCTTTAAAAACAAATAGGTTGTTTCAAGTTGAGTTCATCACATGGGTTATTATGGCCAGTGGCTGGAGGCCTAGAAATACAGTTCCCTTCTCAGGATGATCCAGTGAGCAGTGCAACCTTAACATGGATTTGCAACTCAGGGAAAAGAGTGTAAGCAAACAAACAGTTTGAGAAAGCCTTTGCTTCTGACAAAACCAACCAACCTACCAATCTGTTTTCTGCAGGGTGAAAATAAAATAAATATACCCCATGTCTTTTACATATAACTTTCAGCAATAAGACTCTCAGCCCAGAACTTCTGAAGAGAAGCTCTGGAAGAGAGAGATGGAGCCGTAAAACTGATCTCACTGAGCTCCTCAGCTGTCCAAATGCTGTTTCAACCTTTTCTGGCCCATCCTAGTGTAGATCAGCTTCGTCCAACCTGGGGCCCTTCAGATGAGTTGGGACTGCAATTCCCCAAGTTCTCAACGAATGAAGGCTCTGAGCATTTAGGGAACTGCATTCACAACACACCTGGAGAAGCCTGAACTGGGGATGGTTCACGCAGACATTTTTAATAAAGATCTGAATTTGTAATTAAAATTAACTGAAAAATCCCACTTCAGTTCCCCTATCCCTCCCATGCTCCCATCCATGTTTTTTTTTAAAAAATGGCAATATATCCCCCACCCCTATGCCACCCCAACCCTTTTTTCTTTCTTTTTCCCCATTTTTCCCCCATACACGCATCAAATAGCATGCAGCAACACCTGTGCATTGATCTCATTAGAGTTAATACGTTTTTTAGAAGGCAAGGCACATTATGTGGTATAAAACGTATTTTCTTTTTTCTCGTGCAAATTAGGAAAAATGAAGATTTTTCTTTTCTTTTCTTCTTTTTTTTTTTGTGTCCCTCATCATAGATGTGGACTAAAAGGAAAAAGAAGGGGAAGGGAGGGGGTGGGGTAGGGATGGGGGAAAAGAGCCTTTATGTATAATTGCCATGCACATTCTCAGCCAGCTGATTGGTTGAGCTAGGTCACATGAATTCCTGTTTAAAAGCACCATGCATTCTATATTGTAAGGGTTAAATCTTTTTTTTTCCTTAAAACATTGCCTCTTCATCAACTGCAGATTTTTTTCCTTTTAGTTTCACTTTAAAAAAAAATCTGATCAACCTCACATACGAAGTCCCTCATTGTCTCCATGATACAGTCCTAGCTTGGAGACATCTGAGGTCGGTTTTCTGGGGTGGAGGGGCTCTGACAGATATTAATTTCTTCTGCCCAGTTCCCACCCATGGGTTGAACACGGCATCAACATTTCTTATTGTAAAGGTGCAGAGGTGTAAACAAGTGCCGCTGGAAACTCCCCCTCCCCATGATGCCAAATTCAAGGTGGGGGTATCTAGGAAAGTCTTTCACTGCCATTAGTCCAAGGGAGCAGGTCGGAAGGAAATTTTGCATATGCAAACGCAAGCCCCAGATGGGTACCAGGTAGGCTGTGGCGCCGGAGGCCAAATTGCATGACATGTTAAGACGCACAAGGGGGACAGGAGAGCACAGAGGTCGGAGCTTTTCAACTACAAAGTTGTACTGAAGATGGAAGATTCTGGAATGGAAGATCCACCTGAGAGAGGACTGTAGAGCCATAGGTTGGCCTCGGCCAACATCCTGGGCAAACACCGCAGTGAAGGAGCAAAGGGGTGTTACTTGTTTCTTCTTTGTTAAAAAAAATATCCTGCTTTCATGTGTTCCTTTGGACATCGTTGGAAAGATCTGGAACACCTTCAGCCTGTTTGGACACACAAGAAAAAATTTACTCCCCCCACCCCAGAAGAATAAAAGAAATTAAAATCACCCAATCTTAGAAGTGGATCTCCTCTGTACACAGCGACAGGTTCACTCTGAAAGTTAGGAAAGAAACTTATGCTTGTATATTGGAAGTTGTTCACATACATGGAATAGGATATGCATTCCTCTTGGAAGTCCAGAGAAAGGTATCAAGGTGCAAAGAACTGAAGATTAGTGTTGGTTGCCCAAATTTTGTCATCTTTCCATCCTGGAGAGGATTGAAATGTCTTCTTCATATCTCATAGAATACAGTACAAAGGTAACTACATATTACCCTAAGAAGAGATGTGAATACAGTACTTTCTCAAAGAATCCTAGGATGTGTAGTATGAGGGTGAGGAGAATTCCATTAAAAGTTCCCTAGCTCCTTCATAGGACTACAATTCCCATGAGTTCCCTGGGAAAGAGAACTACCATTAAGCCAATTTTAGTCTGCTGGATAGCCACTCCATTAGGGATATACTCTTAAGTTCCCACAGTTTTCTAAGGAGTAAAAGTTGGCCATTGTGTTAGGCCAATGTATGGCAAGTTAGTTCTGCAAATCCAACTGTCTGTGGCTGAAGCTTTTCATTTGAAGATACTGATGTTTTCTTGGGCTTTCCAATGAACTATTCCTTGCAACTCATTGGTCTCATTCAGTCTTGACAGATGTCTGCTTTCTGATTCAAATCCACTCCAGGATGTAATCTGGGATAGATTCCTCTGCCTCAATGAGATTCCTCTGAAATCTTGACAGTTTGGCACAAGGAGAAGGAAACATTCTGAATGCTTTTAGAATCATGGATGACGGCACCAGCCCTCAGAGGAAGGTTGTCCAGAAGCCAGCATGGACTGCCCAGTTCATCAGCTGTCCACCTGGCCGTCACGGAGGACTTAGAGCCAAACTCTGGCACCCCAATCTTGGCTGGGTTAAAGGGAGTTTAATCCGTGGCCTCTAAAGCTTTGGTGTCTGCTAGGAAAGAGGGATGGGGAGTAGTATTGAAGTGAAGTGGGTGGAGTGCCATTGCTCAGCCTGCCCCTGCCCCATGGGGGTCTCCATCACGAATGCCGCTCTCCATAACCCAGCAAAAGGACTGGAGCATTAAAATGTAGGCACTTGAACCAGTCCTAGATGGCTTCTAGGCTCCACCTTGGGGCTTGCATGTGGGGTGGGGTAGGGGCAAGAAGAGGATAGAGCTCTACATGAAGGGGCAATGATAGAAGAGGGTATCACCATCCCCTGCTCCTACTGAATCTATTTTTTTTCTCTTGTCCTGAAAGGTTTCTGTGTAAGGCCCCACTTGACACCATCCCGTCCCAGTGGGCTGGATAGTCATGATGATCCTCTCCACACAAATTACACATACCCTATAGGAGATTACCTTCCTTATCCCTCCACCCTCAAGTTACTTTTTCCTCCCCCTCCTCTTCAAAGTGCATTTCCTACAAAAAAAATGTGCAATCCATATTAGCAGTCATCAAAATCATCTTGAAGCTGGTCTGCAAGGGCATGCATAGCTCTTTGTACACAAGGTTGGAAGCTCAAGGGGGGGAGGGGGAGAGAAAGCGAAGCCCTGCCGACCCACTGTCCCCACTCAACTTCTTCCTGTCCCCTGAATCAGAGATTCAACAAGTTGCACAGGCCCCTGCTGGTGTTCATCTGACTGGCTGCCCACCTTTTGAAGAAAGGATGTTAAAGCTGGTCGGAAGCCATCTTTAAGAGAACCTGCAGGCTGTGGATGCCATGTCCCCACCCCACCCACAAGAGCAATTCCCTCCCCGTAAGAGAACAGGCTGACAAAAGTCCATACAGGCTGAGCAGAAAGAGCCCACCTCTCAGCCTTGGTCCAACTTTAAGGCAAGGGTTAAAGACAGACCTATGGTCATGGCAGAGTTGCAGCAAGGGGAGCTGGGGTGCTGTTTAAACACAGTGTAATGGCAAATTCTTTCCTGACTCCCCCCTTGAAGAAATGCCACATTTCCCCCAGCTTTCATTCTATCCCAATCCAACAACACATGCATGGTTTCAACATTCACAGCCAAGTTTCAATGTCTCCCCACTCCCAAACAAAAACAAAACCCACCACCATTCCAAACCATCTGGTTCAGGATTGCACTAAGTCAACAAAATTAAATTTAGGTGGCTTGAATCTGTTCCCTTCTCCCACAATATCAGACTCTGTCAAACCAACCCGTCTCCTTCCCTTTCCCCACCCCACACCATTGGCACTCAAATCCATTCAAAAAAAGGATGTCTTTTGAGACTAAAGCACAAAGCATTCTGGGAGAGGAGTGCAGAAAACAAGCCACGTGCCCCCTTCTTCTCCACCAAAGAAGTCCTGCTAACACCATGTCAGTAGGTGCTGGGGACCAGCAAGCCCCCATCAGAAAGCAAAGCATAGATTTTTGTGTGGGGAGGAGGACAGATAGATACACTGAAAAGGTGCCCAGCATTTATCTTTCCCTCTCTCTTGAGCGGGAATTAGCTCACTTTGCATCTTGACGTTGGCCCAACTTCAGCTGCTTGACCAGTCTAGATGATTTGTAGTGCAGTCTCTTGGTCACGCTGCCCCCATTCCCAGAGGAGGAGAAGCGGGGAGGGTGTTGAGCGTAGAAAAAAGAGAGGGGAGGGTTCTGCAGCAGGCCAGATTAATTTTTTTTTCTACTCACAAGAGATGGAAAAATAATCAGAAACTTTTGCATATACATCCCTTTCGAGTATGGGAGAGACAGGATTCCAGCTAGCCACGAGTTGGTAGGGTAGATGGGGAAATCCATCCCTCTGAAAGGCGTGTAGTGCTTCTGGCCAAAACGCCTCCCCTCGGAAAGCTGCCTGCTCGAATTTGCTCATTTCAGGAAAATCGCAGTCGGGATGGCTGGAAAGCAGGGTCGGTTTTCTGTTTTTATCTTTTAAAAAGAAGTTTGAGCTTTTCCCCTTCCCTTCCTTCTGTCCTTCTGTGATGTCTCTTCATGATGTTGACGTTAATGCGTGTCTCTCTCTCTCTCTCTCTCTCTCTCTCCATGCTGCCCCCAAGGTTTGGGCCAGGGGTGGGAGGGCTGCACTGTTCTCCTCAAAGGAAGCCCAAAGCCCGGGGGGGAAAGGAAGATGATGATGATGCAGATGGAAGCTGCAACTAGCCTAGGTACCAGGACTGGGAGAAGATTGAAAACAAATTACTAAGTGGGAAGGCACCTGGATCCCCATGCATCCTCACCCGCCCACCTACCCAAATATCCATTCACAGTGACATCTAAGTGGGATGTGCATTTTGGAACCAGGAGGGCAACACGTATACAACATTTAGTGAAGCTGCTGGAAAATGGATTCACCCATATCATAGCAGCCACTTTCAGTGGGAAGAGAGCACCTTTTTCCCTGAAAGGTTCTCCCCACTTGGATTTTTATAATGAACTTCCCTCCCTCTGCCTGGCTGGCTGCCACAGCAATGAGAACATACACACATTGGCTTTGATGTCCTCCCCTCCCATTCTAGAGCAGACCGGAAATTTTGCTGCCCCCACAGCACACCCTTCCCATACACCCAGGACAGGTCTGTACTGAACAGCTGCCATATAGCTTTAAAGCACAATATTCCAAGGGTCATAATTGCTGGTTCCATTGGCTGAAATTTCAGCCCTGCCCAACATCATCCACAATGTGAAAAGATTCCTTCCACTGGCAGGCACAATGCCCTGTTTAGTCCATGCAATGTCATTTTTTTCTTTCCCTTCATACCATCATTCATTGAACTTTTTTATTGTGCCTTGAAACTGTGGTTGATCAGTCAGCTGTTCACCCTATTGACCATTAGGTTGCGGCAATGAGTTAAATTTTTCCTTATTTCTTGGTTGCCACCTAGTGGTTGCCTGAATTTGTGCAGCCACTGGATAAATGCTGCTGAAGAGTTGGAGTTCAAGAACAGGGTTTAGCTGTGGAGATCAATGTAGGAGCTGTAAAGTACCCCAAGAATGTATTGTCGAAGGCTTTCATGGCTGGAATATGATGGCTGGTGTGGGTCTTCCGGACTGTGTGGCCATGTTCTGGAAGTTTTGTTTCCTAACGTTTCGCCGGCATCTGTG